TGGCCTATGACCGATATGTGGCCATCTGCAAACCTCTCCATTATTTGATCATCATGAATCACCGTGTATGTGTTCTCATGCTTTTGATGTCCTGGATTGGAGGCTTTCTTCATTCATTAGTTCAGTTTCTCTTTATATATCAGCTCCCTTTCTGTGGTCCCAATATCATTGACAACTTTGTATGTGATATGTATCCCTTATTGAAACTTGCTTGTACCAATACCTACCTCATTGGGCTTTCAATGATAGCTAATGGAGGGGCAATATGCACAGTTGTTTTCTTCATTCTCCTAGTTTCCTATGGCATCATATTACACTCTCTTAAGACTCATGGTTTGGAAGGGAAACGTAAAGCTCTTTACACCTGTGCATCCCACATCACTGTGGTCATTCTATTCTTTGTCCCCTGTATCTTTCTGTTTGCAAGACCAACTTCCACTTTTCCCATCGATAAAACCATGACTGTGGTGTTAACTTTCATCACTCCCATGTTGAACCCCTTGATCTACACCCTGAGGAATGCAGAAATGAAAAGTGCCATGAGGAAACTTTGGAGCAAAAATGTGACCTTAGCTGGAATAGGGCTGTATCTCTCATGCAGAACATGAGAGGGTCTCTTTCACAGAAGAAAAGAATAGTTTCACTCTCAGTGACTACATTTCTATTATTATTTCCCCTTTGTTGTTTAGTTTATTAATTCTGAAATAGCAATGTAAATTAATCTTTATCTAAGTGGAACACAGTATATCCCCTAGAGATCAAGAGACGTGCATAGGCTTAGTATTTTGTATGTGGTATTATGTTACACTGTGTTAAGACTTTTTGTTTCACTTCAAGTTTTTGTTTGTGGGTTACAGGCCCTCACTAGCACACAAAAATGTGACCTAATAGAACTTGTTCCCTTCAGTCTAAGGGGTTGATGGTCTAAACTTAAAAGTTAAGACTGTTAAAACTGTTAATCTAGGGACCAGCAGTTGGCGTAATTGCTATGTCACTGGACTTTCGTGTAGTTGACCGTGGTTCAAGTCCTGGACCCGGTGGCTTAAACTGATGCTGGGCACATGTGTGTGTGTGTGCCCAAGATCCCAAGAGGATAATGGAGGAGAAAGGACTTGGTCAAATTAATTAATTTAAAATTTTATAACATATATATGTACAGACACTGTAAATACATTTATAACATTTATATGTGTATTATATATATATATATAAATGTTATATATATATATATATAAATGCATGTATATGACACAGAAGAAAATAAATCCATGGAAATGAACTTAGTTAACTTTATACCATGATGGAGTTAAGATATCCAAGCAGCATATGGTTGATTTCAAAAATTCTGACCAATTTTGGGAAAGAAAAATAGTTTATTTACATTCTGATTGTATTTAGATCAATCAGCATTCTACTTGGAGTAATATCAACAAATCCTGATTTTTTTCTCCCACAGTTGAAATAAATATTTAAGATACTCGCATTATTTTAGTCTTCAAAGTCCACCTACATTAAAGTAAATTCTCTGGGTACATGTTTTCAACTAGATGATTAAAGTTAAACATTTTTTAAACAGATTGTCTTGTTTTACACAATGAATGTCATTCTTATTCCCTGTAAACTCTACTTTCTCATTGATTCAAGTGATAAGTAAAAGATATTTTCTCAGTTTATAATTTCTCTATAGTAGTTTAGAGATCTAATGCTATATTATAGAAATATTTTTCAAAAAGACTGGTATTATACATTTCTTTGTTGAAAATTCAACTCATATAAGCTAAGAAAACAAATGTTATTTTCTTCTTTATCCTTTTCTCAATTTACAATAGATTTCCTTAGATATTTAGCAAAATTAGTGCATCCAGTAATGCCATGTAATAAATAAAAGCCATAAAATTTCACTTAGTAAAAGCAGAGTATTCAATGTTTTTTATTTTAATTTGTTTGTTGTTGTTGTTGTTGTTGCTATAGCATGTGTGCTCACCAGAGAGAAGTAGAGAGAAGTAATGTGGTAAATCACCTCCCAGGGGCATGTCCATTCCACAATCCCCTCTACACCATTCTTTTCCTGAGATTTTGGGCACAGGAGTTATTTGGGGCCTAGCATGATTATCAAACTACTGAGTCCAGGACTGGAATTGCATAGTTGGCCTTATGAGATCCAGTTGCCTTACCCTCCAGTCACTGGCTGGCCCTTGTATATCTTTTAATAAGAAATCCAGTGCAGAAATGAGAAATTTCATAATTATTGAAATAGAATCTGGCATCTGGATACTAGAGAAAACAGAGATGAAATTAAAGATTCATCTCCCAAGCCTTGATGTAGATATGAGAAACTTGTACTCAGGACTTCTTTCCAGATTAACTTCTCAGGAGTAACTTCAACTAATATTGGATTTGAATTTTCTGGTATGCTTTGAGGGGGGAAATGCACTTTCCTTCCTTATTATAAAAATAACTAAAATATTTTTAAGAGAGAAGTTTTGCTATAGGACATGTACACTTGCCAAAGAAATAGAGAGAAAGTGAGAAATCATCCCTCTGTGAAGATGGCCGAACCACAATCCCTTTTTCTCCAATCTTCTCTTGGGATTTTGGTTGCACATGCACACATGCCTAGTGTGAGTTTCAAGACACTGGGTCCAGGACTTGAACTGCAGTTGGCCATGTGGGAGTCCACAATGAAACCTTTATGCTCTCTGCTGCTGGTCCCCAAAATAACCAAAATTTCTTAGTACATTTCTTGAATTGTACATTTCTTCCATACTCTACTTACCTGCAATACAACTATTTTTTATATATAAAATACCTATTTATCAATTATGCTATTTTCTAGTTATCTATTTTGTTCTAGTAATCTTTTTGTCTATTAATGAGCCAACACCATAGGATCTAAATTAGTGTAGGGTTTTAGATACTATTGTTGTATAATGAATCACTCCCAAAATTTAGTAGCTTAAACTATAACAATTACTTTACTATTAATTCAAACAGTTTCTAAGAGTCAGAAATTTATAAAGATCTCGGCTGGAAAATTCTGGCTTAGGTGTCTCACAAGGTTACAGTCAGAAATTGGCAAAGGGTAAAGTCATACATAAAGTTTATCTCGGCTAATTGGTGTCATGGTGGTTAAGTTGGCAGGATCTCACATGACTGCTGATTTGGCAGCTTGAAAAACATGCCAAATGTAAGTATATGTCTTCCCAAAGTCTTGAAAGGAGATATAGAGAAGGGATTGTGTGGGGACACATTTAGAGAGAGAACCTGAGTTGTGGAGACATGCTCTTAGCAAACATTACTTGTTCTTTTGGGCTTTGGTAGAAACTTGTAATTTGCCCTTTCCTTGACCCTCACCGCAGAGAGAACAAAGTGTGGAAATTGCTAGGGGCATTCCAACAGACATACCTGATGTTCAAGAGACATTTTTTTTTTTTTTGGAAAGGTTTTGCTATAGGGCACGTGCGCTTGCCAGACAGACAGAGAGAGACACAGAGACAGAAAGCGAGAAATCACAATCACCCCCCAGGGGGGATGGTCACGCCACAATCCCTTCTCGTCCATTCTCCTCCATTCTCCTCTCGGGATCTTGGGCACGCACGCACACGCGTCCGGCATGAATTCTAAGCCACCGGGTCCGGGACGCGAATCGCGGTCGACTACGTGGGAGTCCAACGACATAGCCATTATGCTAACTGCTGGTTCCCTTCAAGAGACATCTTGACCCCAATTAGCAAAGTCCAATCCCTGCTCTGCATCTGAAATGTTCTTTAGCTGTCTCTGGGTGTAGTGGTGCACTTCTTATGGAGAAGTTCTTTGCCTTCTTCCCCACACCTACAGCTAGACTTCTTTGCATTAGAAAAGAAGATAATGGGACTTTCTCTTGATAGGGTTATCACCAAGGGATACACCTGGCCCAGTATGACTAAGCCCTTATAGATTTGTTACCTGCTTCTTATTGTCTGTAACCTAGCAACAAATCTATGAAGTGTCATGAAACATACATGTGTTGTGTCTCCTTGTATTATAAATAAGGAAGCCCAGTTTGTCTGGTTGGCTCAAGCAGTGGCTCAAGTACAGAACAAGTTGCTTGCGCTACCTAGGTTCAGGCTACCTGTGTCCAATTCTACTCTGTCTCTTTGTCTCATTCTTTCCAATTCCCCGGTCTTCTCAAGATGAAGGGCTTCGTCTTTCTCATCCTCTTTCTCTTCCTCATCAGCAGCTCCCCAATCATGATTCAGCTAGAACCAAGCCCCAGGGGGGACGCCAACAGGACTGTGATATATCTATCCCCCATGACCGTTCTCATTTTCTTTCTCTCTCTCTCTAGCAAGTGCATACGCTGTAACAAAACTTAAAAAAACAAACAAACAAAACTCTCTCCAATCACATGTCTGATATGTAGGCTTGAAAGTTTTGAACAGTGTGCATTAAAATAGCTGGTAATCCTTAGGACTCCCCTTATTTTTATGTGGTCTCTCCATATGGTCTCTCAAAAATCTAGGTTTCAGGGTAATCTGACTTTCACATGGTGGCTCAGATCTCTAAAAGACACATGTTCCAGGAGAGTGATCCAAGCAGAAACTATTTTTAACCCAACCTTAAAAGTCACATAAAATCATTTCTGTGTTATTGCATTGGTCAGACAGTCATAAAGTCCCTCTCATGTTCAAATAGAGAAAAAAGACTTCACTTGTTGATCAGAAAATGGCAATGTTTAATTTGGAGCGAACATCACATGTTCTTTTGGGCTTTGGCAGAATCTTGTAACTTGCCCTTTCCTTTAAAAATGGTAATGCTCTGGAAGATAATATACAAAGAAAATTCTGAGAAGGGACTGGGGGAGAAGACACTGTGGCATAGACATTCCCCTAATAGCTGATTTTTCACTTTCCCTCTCTCTTTGTCTCTCTCCAGCAAGCATAAACCCTATGTAAAATAATAATAATAATAAAGTAAAATAATAAACTTTTGAAAATAAAATATAATGAAAACATTATCTCTGTCTAATGTCAAAAGTTAATAATAAGTCATGTGTATGGGAACATCAAAAATGTTCATGTATTCCACCATAACAAGAGTAACAGACTGCTACTTCCAGAAAATGGCAGTGTTCTGGAAGATAACATACAAAGGATATACTTGTAAAATAAAGTCTGCCCTATTTATGTACCACATATTCTCCCACAAGCATAGTGCACTCACATTTTTTTACAGGCTCCTTTTGCAAGTCTCATCCTGATGTAGCCATAGTTCAGGTTCAAGGTTCAGCATCTTAGTGCCTAAATAAAGTCCAGCTGTGAGTGAAGCTCCTGTATCTTGGTTCCTTGGCTACAGCTCTTTGGAAGTTTTCTTTTATGTTGGGAGGCTTTGGAACCAAAGAGACGAGTTTCCTGCCTATTCATTCTCCACCCTACCAATATACAATGGTGTGACAGGCATGGGATTGATAACTCCTGTAGATACTTAAATTCAAAAAAGAGAGAAACAGGATGTTCATAGCAGTGACTGATCCAAATCCATCCAAGTATATGTTGTTTCAATTTCTTGATTATTTCTCAGTCCTTCTGGAGATGATTTTTTATGACTTTAGTTTTTTCCCTTTTAGGCT